GTTTTTTTTCTATTTTGTTTTTTTCGCATTGATGATAACGTATACTAATAAAGCTTTTTACGGGGAATTGCTCATATGTACCCTTAGATCCTCCACTTTCCTAATTCAACTGCTCTAAACCTGATATTAAGTATCCAATTCGTGAGCCTATCCATCGGCCGAATTGTCTGAAGGATTTCTTACATTACCGATGTTGGAGTACCTTTCATTTCGTTTGAAGAGGCGAGTGAAAGGGATTCGTTAGTTGGTTCCACTCGAGGCTGTTTGGGGGTTGCCTTGGAGCTGTGGTTGTAGATTTGTGCGAATAGGTCCTCGGCGCACCGCCCTGCGACCCCGATTAATTCTTTCTGAGCCTTCGTCCGTCATGTGACGGACATCATCAGAGCAGGACACCATGGCTAAAGATAATTTACCAAAAACATGAAGGCAAGAAAGGTGGCAGGATGTCAGTGTCTAATGCAGTTCTCGTCATTCGCTGCAAGGCCATCTTAATTTATGTCGGAACATTCTTACGCTATTTAGAGGGCATCTCTTATTTACATGTATATATATCTATTTATTTCTTATACTATTACCTCCAAGAGACCAATGCGACTAAAGTGCTATTTATGAAAATCAACTTTTTCAATATCTTATTAAAACAGAAACTCTCAGCTTTCGCAATGCACTTAAGCCTTATAACTGCGTGATCATATGTATGAGTGTACAAAACTCATGTAACAATTCAGCAGTGTTCCTTTGCATAATCTTGACGATATCAAGTAACTTATTGAGGCATTTCATTTTATGCTGAATCATGTCCTTAAATAATGGGTAATCATTTTTAAAGCATCATCTTAATGAATAATTTTTTTTCCTTTATTGGCATCCCTGAAAGATATAGTTAATGGATTTATTGCTTCCCGAAGATTTAAAACGTTCTTCAGGGCTTTAGCTTTCCCTTTTTACGATGAATGCTACTTCACTCTGTAATTTACTTTTATTCCACTGATACATATTAGGCCAACATTCATTGCTCGAAACAAATTGTCTCAATTTTCTTTGGCTTTGTCTCTAGGAAGGGCTAATATCAAATATTTATGTTACTTTGCTTATACAATTTGCTATGCGAATCTTCAGCTTACTTTTTTGAGCGGTTATGAAGGGGTTTTTAATTTAAATTGAGTCATAGTAGGGATGTTGATCAATTTTTTCATCTTGTTACCAATTACGGCTAAAAGAAATTCGAATAATTAGCTACTTGTATAAAATTGATTTTGATTTTGGTACATAATTTTAATACGCAATTTACATACTTCTAAATATAGATTGAAAACTTATTTAATTTTTATTCCTAGTAAGTAGATTTATAGATCCTAATTAGGTACTGATTAAGAGTTTAATCGTTTTAGGTTGCATTAGGGGATGAAGGACTAGTAGTTGAATTTTACCAGAATGGTATTAATGGGCCTCACAATGCCATTGCATCTCCTTAACCCTGCCTCTCTACAGGTACTTTCATACAGGGTGTAACGCAGTTCAACGATTGATTCTATTATATAATCACTACACCACATGCCCACGGATGTTATTGTGTAGCGGGGCACAAATGGCTTTCGAGGCATACTAGGTCTCATACCAATGACGTTGCATACGGAAATCGCACGTGGGTAGTGCACCGTCTAATTTCTACATTTTGATTCCCGTTGGGGTTGGTTCACCCAGGATTAGTTAACTTCACCTATACCTCGAGGCCTACTTTTGTAGCTATGGTACAATTCAGTTATCAGTCCTTTATCACCGTGTGTAAAATTAAATGATTGAAAGTCTTAATCAAGATCTTTTGATAGTCTCTAAACATGCTTATAAAAAGAAATAGATTAAACTATTGTCATGATGAAATACACTTTTGTATAATTGAAAATCCCACAGTGATAACATTTAAAAGTTATACCCTGCACTGCCTGAGTCCGATTTCTTTCGATAATGCTGCTAAGAGCTAGACGAAGTCGAAGCTACATACTCATAATTAAACTTTCAATCCTTCAATCACTTGTGTGACTTGGGGTAGTTACTATTCTTATTTAATCTAATCACTGGGTTGTTACAAATTAGTTGGTATAGCAGTAGGTTCTTTGATCGAAGGTGTGAAGACCAAGAGGGTGTGGCCTTTTGTGTGGTCGCAGTCTTCTTTCATTGTATAGAAGTTGTTACACCTTGTTTTCGCAACGTGGCAATATTGGTAGAGGGACTTAGAGGAACGCACCTAGTCTGGAGTCCATAGCATGCATAAAAATTTTCAGTCGAACCATGGACATGGTACATTCCCAGACATTTCGCCGGCATCGTCAATGAGCATTGCCATTCTTACACCTACTCTACAACTCTTCAAAGAGTCAAGTGAAGCCGCACCTTAGACCAATTGTCTGCTAAACAATTGTGGTATATATCATTGCGCCTTGGCCCAATCACTAATTCATATTCTGGTATCACGCCTTCACTATCACAATTTTTATTGGCTTATCTAAATGTGGTATGGTGTGCACTTTTGAGCCGCTTTCGTGCGAACGCTTTACACTCCACACTGGCTTTCTCACTATCCTTCACCCTTGTGTTGGGAATTTTGATCAGATTCTGCCTATTGTTACGCTATCCCTAGACTAGGTCTTACCAGAGTCTCCCTTTGGCATCGTGGGATCCGTCTGCTATCTCCCTGGCTCTATTATCTCACTCGACCCCGGCCACCTAATCTTTGGTACTCGTTGCGTTATTTCCCACACTCTGTCTCTGGGACAGTAACTTGAGCTTAAAGCCCCTAAGTAATTATCGTGGTCAAGCCTTTGGTTCCTCGATCGCGTCTGGTAAAACAGGCCTACTGTTAAGCTACTAGCTCTAATCTCCGCCGTATCTATCCTGTTTCTACCCCTAATACAAAGTCTATCACTTCCTATGCCCCAGTCTCTTGTGTGCCAACCGACAATTGTTGTGGTTCGAGATTGAACCAAATCAAAACAAGCTGTACCACAACATTTGTGGGTTGGCACACAAGAGACTATGGCATGGCAAATCATAGACTTGGTATTAGGGATAGAAACAGGATAGAGACGGCGGGGACCGGAGTTAGTTGGCTGACGGTAGATCTGTTGTACCAGAGACGTGGTGCATGTAGCAAAGGGGTGTACATGGCATTTATAGGTTTGTGCCTTAAATTAGTCACCCAGACGCATGGGAGGGCGAATAATGCCTCGAGTAGGACAGATGTGGTGGCAGGAGTCGAGTGAACTAGGTGAACAAGGGGTAGAGGAGACGGATTTTATGGAGCAAGAGAGAGACTGGGATAAGACTAGGAAAGAGGACTGTATAATAATAAAGCAGACTATGATCAATATTCCCTGCACAAGGATGAAGGGGGGGTGAGAACGATAGATGGAGTGTAAAGGTTTCATATCGCTCAAAGGAGCAAACCACACAATATCTAAGTAAACACGGTAAAAATTGTAATAGTGAAGACATGATAGGATGATACTGGAAACGCAAATAACCCAGGACAGAAGGGGAGATACCACAATTGTTTAGCACACGTTTGGTCAAGGGATCGGCTTCACTTGTCTCTTTTACGAGTTGTTGTATGGTGCTAAGAATGGTGATACTCACTGATGATGCCGACTAAGATGCCGGGGAAAAGTTTGTGAATGTACCACATCCACGGTTCAACTTTGGAAATGATCATGCAGACAATGTACTCCGGACTATGTGCGTTCCTCTAACTCTTCCTACCAATATGACCATGTTGTGAAAGCTAGGTCAAACAACCTATATACAACGAACGGAGACTGTGACCACACAAAAGGCCACATCATCTTGGTCTCCATACCTTTGTCAAATTATATTTTGTTATTCGCATTCTTTTTTAAATATTCTCGCTTACTTCTTTTCTGGATACGAATTAGCCTTAAGCTATTTCATAAAAATAACACACGATGTTATTATTATATGAAAATGGTTGTTCGTTTTGTAATTAGGCTACATTAAAATTGAAACTGTCACCTTAACTGTAACATATGCAATGTTCCAAATACTCATAATTTTGCTAATCTGACTATTCTTGGAAATGTATTTAGTATGAAAACCTGGAAAGCACATGCAATTTTTATTTATGAATAAGTTTCTTTTTTGAATAAGGTATTATTTATTCTTTTGCATTTAATAGTTGCTGCACCTAAAGTACCAAGTGGCCCCGGTGTGAGCTCAGGTAAGAAGATTGAAGCCGCCAATCCTGTAAGATCGGCTCTGCCAACTAAGGAGTCATCTAAACTTGCTTCGTCCTCAGCCATAGCGAATAAACAAGCTAGCATCAGTAGTGGAACTAAAGAACAAACTGGAGGTAACGTTAATACTACTTTACCTCTCTCCACCACTCTCTCGGTCGTCAGTGGTCCTCCTACTGCTTCCTCCGGAAAGGAAGGTCAGAAACTGACGGTTGCGCCAGCCTCAACTTCGACGGAGGCAAATACAGTTCGACCAAATAAAGCCCAAGCTCAAATCGATAAAGATAAGGATCGTTCTCTTGACAAGCCCATTGAAAAAGATAAGATGCTGCGCGATTATCAAGAAAAGGATCGGGACAAGAAAGATTCTGCCGCTAAGAAAACTGAAATTTCTCCGAAAAATAAAGAGGAAACTGACAAACCAAAAGATCATGAAACTAAATGCCAGCCTCAATTTACTCGAATAGTTGTTAGTAAACTAACTCGCAACGTTACCAAGGTGAGCCTCTTGATCATAAGGCTATACTTGATTCTTATTCTTCATTTGACGGACAAATCATGGACGTTAAACAGTCATCTTTTAATGATACCGATGAGTATATTCTGATAAACTAAGTAATTGACATTAAGGAAGAGCAGACTTAGAGAACTGTCAACTTCTAAGAAGATTTA